CCTCACGCATCCAGGCATAGCAGCGGTTCAGTTCTCCAAGCCATGCCATGCCACTCCCTGCCACTCCCCCCAATATCTTTAATCGTACCACAAGGAGTTAATCATCTTCATGATCATCATTATCATTTCAGAACTGCAGAGCTAGAAGGGACCCTATGGATCAGGTGCAGGGGGTCGAACTGAAATCCCAACCTCTGGCTCCAGAGCCAGACCCTTAAACCGGGGAGCTATCCAGAGCGGTTTTCACCAGGCAGCCCCTCTTGGTGCAGCAAAACCACCTCCTGCCACCCTGGGCGAAAGCTGTGGTTAAGTTGCAATCGAACCAAAGCGGCCGGCCTTGCATTTAACATTCCTGCACAGCTCTCTGAACAAAACCAGCTCAGACAGACCTTTATGTCTCCCAGTGGTAAATTATGACTTCACCAGGCTGAAATTACAGCCCTTGTGCATAAATCAAGGTGGGGGGAGAGACCTCAGCTGCCCGAACTGACATTCAAGGGGGAGGGGGAAGAAAGCACTCAATGTTATCCTCTTCCACCCAGACGTCTCTGTGTGTGTATCTGTGGTTTTCCCTGCACGCCTGTGGGAAGCTTCTCCCCTGCTCTCTGCCAGAGCCAGGGAGTGGGCGATCTTTGGGAGGATGGGGAAGGAGGAATCAGCCAGACCGTCAGTGGCAGGTATCACGCCGGGAGAGGCTTCGGCTCTTCCGCACATGACGAAGGCCCTACTGGGAGCCTGTGGCTCAGTCGGCAGCCACTGTCCGGGTGGCAAGAGATCTCGGCATCGGGAGGATATCAGCCAATTCCTCGGTGGCGCTGTGGTAGGCCAAATGCTCCCTCTTCACTCCCAACGGCCTGGATCAGAGTATTGCAGACCAGGAGGTGGAGGTGGGGGGCATGCCCCCAGATTCCAGCTCAGAGGAGCATGCCAGCGGGAGGGGGGGAGCTAATCAACATCCCACCCACCCCTCCATTATGCTTTATCTACTGCTAAGCTGCACGGCAACCACGTGTGCAATGAGCCACGGGACAAAAAATATATATATACACTTTTTTTTTTACAAAATTATCTTCATTTTTAAATTCAGGAAGTCAACAAACAGAGGAAGCTGCCTTATACAAGATCAGGAAGGATTATATTTCCATTTAGCCCAGGGGTGGGGAACCTTTGGCCTTCAGGAGGGCCAGATCAGGCCCTGCAGGGTTTTGAAACTGGCTCGGCTCCATTCTCCACCATGGCCTGTCACAGCATTCGATTTTTATTTTTATTTTATTTTTTTACTCTTAGGACTTCCATGTTTTATTTTCTTACAAAGCCTTACCTCCTGTACCTCTAGGTGACTCATCCCTGTGTGTGTGTGTGTTGTGTGTGTGCGTGTGCGCGCATAGCTACTTACTGGAGTCCATCCTGCCACTGGAAGCACACAAGAGCAGACCAGGCTGTTTTCTTCCTGAATCTGTTGACATATCCACTGAATCTTCACGGCACATTAAGAACAATGAAGGGAAATGTTATATACAGCCGGACGGAGCAGAAAGGGCATCGGGACCGCCCGGGAGATCTCTGGATGATTCACTGGAGATCAGCAAAGCGTTGTGACACCCACGTGTCTTCTCTAACCACTTAAAGAGGCAGCAGGTTTGTGGGGATTGGGGGGGGGGAATCCATTCCAGGTTTTAGTCTGACCTTGCCAAGAATAACCCAAATCTATTTGGCAGATGGACTCAGCCTACTCTGGTAGATCCTGCAAACTTCGGGTTAAAACCCAGAGTGCATTCACCAGTTCCACAAATGGGCCCCTAGAACCCTCTTTGGAGTCTGCATTACATGCCATCAAGTGGATTTCAATGTATGGTGGACCACAAGTTGGGTACGCGAGATATTACAGGAATGGTTCAATCAGGGCCAACCTGCTCCTCCCCGCTTGAGTTTCCTTGGCCAAGTGAGGATTTGGACCTAGGTTTCCGGAGTCCTAGTCCACTCCATTATACTGGTTCTCTTTAAATTAGTTTCCTGAAAAAAAGAAGATCAGATGAGCTGATTTTTGCGGGGAAGAAGCAGGAGCCCCTGGTTGCAAGCTTTGGGGCTCAGCCCTTGCTCAGAGGCACCTGGCCTCCGAATTCTTATGTTCCCCTCTGCCTGTCTCTCTGCACCTGGCTCCAGTTGGTAGATCTCAGGTTTGAAGTTCAACTGGTTCATCCCACAAGCCGAAATCTGCCTCCCCCCACCCTCCTGTGTGCTCTCTCTCTGACACCTGTCTGGGTTTTGAGCTTGCATGCAGCAATGTTAGCCTTCCGCTGGGGATCCATTTGATTGACAGGCCTTCTGAGTGATGTGCCCAGGCAACCCTTCTGGTCTGAACCCAGATTCCTGCCAGGCAGAACAGCACACGGCGTTCTCGCAGTGGGATCCCAGTGGTGGCAGCGAGGCTTTGATCCTGACAGCACAGCCTGGAACAGGAGAGATATCTTTCTTTGCCAGGAAACACCTGATAACTCCAGAATGGGAGGCGGTGTGTGTGTGAGAGAGATGTGAATAAGTTATCCATCTCTGGCTGCGGGAGAGAAATGCCCTATCAGGGTCGAAATCGTCCCTGTGCCGAGAGGCTCTGGAGCCGCTGCCTGGCACTCCCTCCCTCTCCACTCCCTGTGGGCAAAGGGCAGGAGCTCAGCTCAGGGACCCTCACACAAAAGGAAGGGTTCTACCTTCTCAGCCCAGGAAGGTGGGGCAGGAGGGGGAGGTGCCCCAGAAATGTCACTCCCCCCCCCCTGCAGGTGGGAAACTGGAGACTTTCCTTCTTTTGACATTTGGCTTTGCAACAACTTGGCTTTGGAACAGGCTGGAGGATGCCAGCGACACAACTGAAAACTTGCAAGTTCAGAAGAAAGCCCCAGATCCTGCAGGTTCATTTTTTTACTACTATTATTTATTTTTTGAAAGGAAAATAAAACAAACAAACAAAAAATACAAATTTGGCCAAAACGACACAATACAACTTAGGTCCATTCTAACCTGCTCACCGGTAGCTACACGCTACCCTTGAGCACATCAGCAGAAACACGGGCACAAGATCCCTGATATTTTGCCGTCTCAGCGTCACTGGGCACCTCCCAGATGCATCAGACTACAGTCTCCATCATCCCACAGCATCCTTAGCCAGAAGCAGGAGGTGGGCAAAGAGTCACCCTCTGGACCAACTCTGGAGGGCTCGGAGGCCAATCCATGGGTCTCCGCATCAGCCCACCTCTCCCGCGGAAAGGAGCAGAAGTTGGGAGTCTTGGAAGCGCCCACACCGCGCTCTGCCTGGCCTTCGCTGCCCCAAGCTACAGACCGAAGCAACCTCCCCCTCGGGAGATCCTGGTGCCAGCTTCTCCACTGACCAATGAAACGGTCCAGCCCCGCTTAAAATGATGTGATAGTTTGAAGGAAAGAACGCTAACAGAAAATTGATCGAATAATACCGATGGTGATGATGATGATGAAAGAGAAAGATCTATTCGCCCCTTCAAAGGAACA